CTGCACTGCATAGCTTACCGAAGATGTCAGGCAAATTCTCATCAACAGTTTGAGGGATTCCGTTTATTACGATGTCTGTGGCGACGGCGTCGCTTTGCAGTTCAGTGAGCTGGGCAAACTGTTCAATTGATATATATTTTTAATGAAAACCAATTTGTGTACATGTTATTTACATTGAAAATTTAAGTTGTCACCGACACATTTTAAAATTGGAATACAAATTTTTCCAAACGAGGGAAATTTCTTCTCAGTAAATAGGCCGTTTTAAGACCATAAATTCGTTAGGTAAGTTATTTTGGATCACTCTAATGTACATAAAATTTGTTGATATTGATAAAAAAAGCTGTTGCAGATACGAGAACGAGAAATAGAACGAACAACTTATCTTCACAGATACGTATGTACGCTCGGGGAATGTCTAAGAGAGCACACAGTTCGACGCTCCGAAATTGATCAAATTGGCATTTTCTAGCTCGTGGGCTAACTGAATTATTGTGAGTCGGTATGTAGGGAGTGTAAGAAAATAAATAGATCAAATTGATAAACGAAGTTTATTTATAGAAAAGTGTGCGCCCACACTTATCACTCATTTGTAATTACATATGTACACAGTAGACATTTTTTACGCTTACTAAATCATCATTTTCTAATTCCTCATCAATGCATTGTGCAATAATTAAAGTAGGAAAGTAATATTGGTATATGCACCATTAAATTAAATGAAATTAAAATTATTATTATAAGAATACCATTTAGTGGATGAATACATACATATGTAAATATGTACATATGTTTGCTTATACATCTCTTCTTCCTTCTCAACAATAAACTAATGAACAGCTGCAAAGCAACGTAACTAACATAAATTAAGAAAAATGTGAAGAAAACAAAAGCAAAAAGTTCATAAGACTACAATTTGTATACATATGTAAATACATTAGGGATGTGTGATTAATCAATTAATCGCACAAGTTGATTAGTAGAAAGCCGAATAATTAATTAATCAAAGAATAATTATTTTTGATTAATCAAAATGATAAATTTTCCGATTAATTACATATTGATTAATCAGAATCTAACTAATTTGATTAATCAGCAAATTGGGCTCGAATCGTCACATACGATATCGTATTACTCGTCACGTAAAATCACATTTTTCGGATTATTACCTACGTGAACGTACTCTTTATCGCATTCAGCTTATACGACTTCGTATGCTGTTACAAAAACAACAACAACAACTGTGACTGTAGTCGAAAACAGATAGCCGGTTAAAGATATCGTATACTACGTTTATACGCATGCATAAGTCGCTTTAATTCATTTCGCCGCGATTCAAAACATATGTATAAACTGAATTTCAGTTCGCTTTGAAAGAGCGAAGTGTTTTGGCTCACACTCCATTTCAAAT